ACATGTGGCTCTGTGATATCTTCAATTTCTGTCTATATCAATAATGCTGAAATACAATATTTACATTATCGAGCTGTGTTTATACAAGTTGAGAGTGTGTGTTTGTTGGCTTTCTTGTTAAACGCCTAGCTATACAATGGACTACCACAGGTATCTAAACTTTACTTGTAGCGTTATAAGCCCTCAGACTGAAGGAGGGTCAGCTGAGAATGAAAACACACTACATATATTTTATACAAAATAAAAGAAATTATTATAGGCCCACCAAATAAGTACTTGAAAATAGCTCTTTCACTCTTAAAATTATCTACAGATGTTATTATATCATCATCAATTTATAAATCTTTAACTCCACAAACATTTACTAATGAACTCTGATCATGCAGCTTTACTTAACTATATATTACTGAATATAAAGTAAAAGTAAATTGACCTCTGGCACAGATACAGATGTAGTTCCGAAAGATTTAGACTGGAGCACAGTGAAGTCACGTGGTCGACCTTTTCCGTTATGTGCACTCTGACAGCTATCGCTTCCTGTTTCAATACCGCCATTTTTCTCTTAAGGGGAAACAAAATAAAACGATGTTACTTTTTTTTGTTGTTGCAGAAATACACAGTGTATTTGCTAAAATTTGTTTTCTGTGATCATAAGCAGATAAAACAGCATTACTTGTAATATTTTCTTTGTTTACTGTCACCACTCAAGTTCACCAGGAAAGTCATAAATTATGTTAGTTTTAGAGAGATAGAAGCTGATAAAAATATTGTATATATATAAATGTATGTATGCATGTTGTTTGACGTTTCTACCACAAATATAAATAAGAACGACATAATAACAAAACCTAACGCATTCGATTTTATTTTGTTTTTACAAACAACATACGTGTGTCAATCTGTGAGATAGTGAATTCTATTATTATTATTTTGTTTGTTTGTAGTTTTGTTTATCGTTCATTTATTATTCCTTTATTCGTTTAGCTTATCTATGAATTTTTAGTTACATTCAAACACTAACTCACCTTTTAGCTGATCACGTTTATTTGAGTAAATATGCATTTATTATTAAATTTACATCAGCATCCCAAGCGGTGACGTACAGATATTATTAATGTAGCAAAATATTATGTAAGTTTATGACCACATACGATGTACTTTCGTGATCTAAGCAGTGAATAAATATCTTGTCATGAGCTTCATAAACTGAGTCATGAGATTGTTAGTGAGCAATATAGTAAGTGGATTATTGCTGTTTGTCACTCGATATTCTTATTCATATAGAACAGTGATTTTGGAATATTGTGTAGTTGTTTTTGGAATTAGGTTTTTTTTTCTGGTTCTTTTTCCTGATTCCATTATTTTTAAATAATTAATACAGGCATTTATTAGTATCAAGTTCTGGCCAGGCATGAGATTATTAACTTTATTTTTATTTTTAGTAAGTGCTAAATTTTTATTTGAAGTGTTGTTACAGTTAATGATTTGTGTGTGTGTGTGTGTGTTTTTGAACCCTGGTTGTTAATTTAAACCATTACACTGGCGCCCAAACAAAGAGGTTGAATTGTGACTTTGGATGGTTTGTTTCTCAATTCGGTGTCAAGTGATTAATTCAGCAATAATTTAAATTCCATTAAATATAAGTTAACCTATGTTGAAAAATAACTGTGTTACTATGCAAGTTAGCGAATCTGATGTGGCCAGTTTGAAGCAGTCTATGTCAGTATTGACAGAATAGGTGAGAATGCTAACACATTGTGACTGATCTAATAGCGAGAGAAACAAAATCTCCCTCCTCTCATCCTCAAACTACGAGAGTTCATTCTACCTATAGCCCTGTGAAAAATTCATAGATTAACGTCACTGCATTCAACCCACCATCCCTGTTTGTTGAGAAGTTCAACAGTAAGTTGGATTTAACACTTCTTAAGAGTTTTGAAAGTTTGGAAAGGCATTTTTATATGTATCGAGTACCTGAGAATAAATGAGTGGAACTGTGGCTTCTTGTTTGAGGGGAGGAATGGTGGAAGGTTTTCGTGGCAGAAATGGCTTTCGAACACTGGGGAGAATTAAAATAAACCTTCACTAATTTGTACCCTGCGGTGTTGGATAATATCAAATTGGCTAAGGAACTATTTAATAGAAAGTACCACGCTAATGCAGAGGAGTCAATGGAGACGTCTATTTGGAAAACTGTAAAGACCTATAAATTATGTAACCCTGAAGCTACAGAAAGAGAAATTGTAAACTGTATAATATAACAATTGCACGTTTCTTTACGAGCATATTTAGAATGTCATTTTGTTGTATCTATTGCTAACGTGCTAAGATTTGCAAAATAATACAAGCATCGCTGGAATAATAAGCAAGAAACTGTTAATATTTAAGCAATTACAACTGAACGTCGCAATAGACCGGAGTGATGCTATACTTGTAATTAAATAGAGCACTTATCTATGCATTGTCCTAAGAAAATGTGTAAATAAGGAACAAAAAAACGAAGGACAGCGGTCGGGAAACGAGAGCAGGGATCAAAGGTTTTGAATCCTGTGAAAGTAAAACCCTCTACATTGAAAAAATCATGGAATTTTGGATAATCATTTATCTGAATTTTCTCTAGCCATTGAAATTTGTATATATATGTGTCTACAGGTAACATTCCAGCTAAACTCCATTTGGGACGAAAGATCTTCCTTCCTTAGGACTTACTGACAAAGTACCCAACAGCACCTCAAACCATAGATGAACAAACAGCAGAATTACAAGATGTCATAAACAAGGGAGCATGATCCAATATTGAAAAGGCTGAACAGTGACATTGACAAACCTACAACCGTACGAGACGTTCATACACAATTAAAGTAGGTGGTTTAGTATTATTAAGGGCACATCCTTTGTCTTCTGCAGTAAATAATTTTACTGCAAAATTTGATCCTAGGTGGAACGGACCTTTCAAAGTTACGAAGTTTGTTATTCCATTAGTTCATGAATTAAAAGATCCTAGACCGGGTGCAGTTATAGGATGATTTCATATGTCTAATATAAAGAAAGATGTATATTTCTCTAGTGAAAATTGAAGAAAATGGTAACCGTCCTAGACAGTTGCAGCAAAACAAAAATGTCGACTACAGAAGACTTGGAGGTTGTTCAGCTACAAAACAAAGGACTTCTGCTGATGTTTCCACTTCCCCCTCCTTCAATGGATCCTGTTGATGACTCACCTCTCTCCTCCTCAAAGGACATTGCAGCCACGTCACAAAGTCGATTATCGTAGTTAACTGGTCTTTTAACCATTAAACTTCTAGTAAGCTAGAGAAGATCAAGCTGAAGATTCAAAATCATTAATTTTATTTTTCTTGTAAGGTATCTGTACTTAAACTGTAAATGATTCATGATGTCATTATGAAGAGGGGTTAAAAGTAAGGATACGAAAATTATGATTTTTTATACGTATTGATTAATGTCATTTCATCGTTTTTCTAAGAGGGAAGAAGTGTGAGATAGCGAATTATATTTTTGGTTATAATTTTATTTATCGTTCATTCTGTTCATTCCTTCTGTTGTTTAGTTTACCTATGAATGTTTAGTTACACTAAATGTTAATTCACCTTCTAGCTGATCACGTATATTTTCAGTATTTATTATGAAACTGACACCATCTTCCCTAGAAATGTCGTACAGATATCATTAACGTAGCAAAAGATTATGTAAATTTATGACCGCATGAGATGTACTCTCGTGACTTAAGTAGTGAATAAATATCCTGCTATAAGCTTCATAAACTGAGTCATGAGGTAGTTAGTGAACGGTATAGTAAGTGAATTATTGCTGTTTGTCACTCGATATTGTTATTAATATAGAAAGGTGATTTTGGAATATTGTGTTTTTTGACTGGGTTTTTTTCTTCTTCTGGTTCTCTTTTTTTTATTCCATTATTTTGAAATAATTAATACAGGTGCTTATGTTTTATTCATTGACATTAGTATAAAGTCCTGGCCAGACACATTGTTATTAGCTGTATTTTTGGTAAGTGCTAAATTTTATTCCAAGTGTTGTTACAGCTAATAAATTATTTTGTTGTTTTGTTATTGTTGTTGAACCCTTGTTGTAGCGCCGTGTTATTTTAAACCATTACAAATCCTTAAAGCTTGAAGGTTAAATACAAAAAATATTAATTAAAATACATAATTTATTTGATGACATACAGCATATGATACTTTAAAATAAAATCTGTTGATTAAACATATTAATTAGTACCATAACTTCAATAAAGAAATGCAGTCCTATATTAATTTACGTAGTATGTGAATTCTTATTGTTTGTCTACAAAATCCTCTCATAGTTTTGGAGCTAGCATGACCAAACTTTGCAGGTAGACTCGGGGTGGCTCATGGATATCCTTATCGTTTTACGTAGCCCCTCCTTTCAAGGGGGTTTAAAACGCGCCTTGAAGGCCATGCAAGATGACAGGTGTTTAGGTGTATATTTTTCAGGGTCAGTGAACCTGAATCTGGCATCAAATGTTGCGTTCTTGGCCCCACTCGAGATCCAAGAGGTGTCATGTTCATACCCTCACTCACAAGTTAGCGGGACCACACTGTACTAGGCACTATGCACGAGGTGTCCTAACGATTATTTTTGGTATGGACCCCTTTTGGAATGGTGAAGAAGCGTTATTGGTTCATTGGTGCATCTGTAAGTCATGAGCACGGATATTTTATGCTAGTACAGTCAAAACAACTTAGCAGTAAATTATTAAAACAACAAAAGAAGCAGACAATTAAAAGTGACTTGCGAAGTGAGTTTTACAGCTTTATTCGGGGTTATACTGACTAGCAGATAACTTTGTTAAAAGTGACGAGAAATGATCAGTCGTTTGAAGGCAAGATCGTAGATCAAACCAAAATATAAATGCTTTAAAAAGCATTGAGAAAGGTAAAAATATAATCTTGGCTTATGATAGAGTGAAGAAACAGACTTTGGTTCAAAAATAGTATAAGTTCTTAAATTACACTTTTAAAATGAAATGATTAGACTTTTTACAAGTCACCTAGCTATTAAAAGTAATTGCAAAAAAAAATTATGTTTCGTCCGTCAAAATAGAGATCCAGATGAAATAGCATAAATATACTTTTCATTCTCCAGCTTCTTGAATGAAAGGATATATATCGCGTAAATAACTTGTGGAAATGTGACTTGTTTTCCCTTTCGTGAATTATCACTGCTTACAAGATGCAAACTTTGCTTACCATGGCTGTGGTACGACTTGTTGCAGGTCTCTTTCTGAATGGTCTAGGGCTACAAGTTGATCCATATTCCTTTGTTTTCAAGTTTTATTAAGTACAAGGGATATCCCGTCTTAGAAATTTAAATCCCTGGTCTGAACACAGTCTTATGATATGAGTCTATGGATATTTTACGTCGGAAAGGACTGTTACACACCTTTCCCAAAAGCGTCAATTTTCATTGGCAGCACACTACCTACGAAATGCCAAACAATGTGAGTATGTAATTACGATGTATATAATTACGATACACTCCGTTCCACCACGACTTCATATCAGTTGTAGTTGTCACGTGACTTGTTGAATTGCATATTTGAAACAATCTTAATATAACGTACTCAACCACCTTTTATTGTGTCAATGCTGTAAGGGAAACATCGTTGGTTTAAAGAGTTTCTTATTATACAGATAGATATAGAGAAAACAAACATAACTCAAAAGTATAACTGTACAAGGCAGGCCACTGTATTATAATTCACAAATAACATTGCGTTGGACCACTTTTTGTCGTAATAAAAGCCTGGAGTTAGCGTAGCAAAGAGTCCACGAGATGGCAGAAGGACAATGTTACAATTGTAGCCTGTTTGTCAAGAATAATTTTCTACAAATGATCCATAAATGTCAACAAGGGATTACAACTTATAGTTTCATCACAAAGATGTTCAGTTGGATGGAGACCTGGTAATTATGCTAGCCAAAAGAAAAAAAAAGATGACGGAAGTCACTGTTATGTTGTTTTCAAAAGAATTTCGGAATTATGAACGAGATTTTTTTTTACATGTGACGGATGTATTATTATATATTTATTTTAATATCG